AACCTCTGCAGAGATACCAGATTTCTGAATTAGAAAGTTTTAGCAGCTGAACAGGACAAGAAACCTGAGAAAGTGAGGAAAAGAAGAACAAAGGACTGATTACGACACGGAAAGAACAACGGGAGGAGTGGTAAAGATCAAGGAAATTAAAGGCCTTTGTTAGATTGGACACTTGAAGTTACATATTATTAATAAATTAAAGAAAACCGGCAAGATGGAATCGGGAGAAATTTGGTCATGAATTGAGACTTCCAAGCTGATAATGCATAGACTGATGGATATGGGGAATTCAAACCGGGGAAGGGGGAGATTTGAAATCCAAAGGCTGTGTAACCATCTTTTGAATTTTTCTATATCTTTTATTTTTTATTTTTTACATAACTTACGCATGTCATTTTATTTTGATTGGACGTGTTTAAAAAAGGGAATTCGTGGAAGGAACTGGGGTGGATCTTGGGGAAAATCTTTTTTCTTTTCTTGTTAATGATGTGGGACGGTGGTAAGATTTGTACAATTCAATTTGGATAGTGGGTTAAACAAATTAAGCTTCAAATTGGGAGTGAGAGCTTGTAGAACTAAATTAAGGACAGGGTATTACAGTCGGGGGGAGGGGAGTCCCAGAAAGTAGGCAATGAAAGTAAGGTTTTTAAATATCTCTTTTTCTTTTTCTTTTTTTTCTTTGTATTTTTATATTTTTGGAAACTTTAATAAATATGATTTAAAAAAAAAAAAAAAGAAAGAAAGAAAGAAAGAAAGAAAGAAAGAAATTATGGATTTCCCACATCTCATTTAGTTTGGTCTTCAGCACTGCACTCTAGGTGGGTATTCAAGTGTTCGATAAGAAGCATACCACGCTGCTTGCAATGTTTGTGGCAGATCCATTCCTAAATATAGGCTGGTATTTCAGAATGCCTTGGGTTACTCGTAGACTAATCCATCCCAGGATAATAGACTGAAAGGACAATGGAAATACCAAAATAAAGAACAATATTATGCTTGTAGCTGCATGCAAAGAAGGAACCATGGCATCAAAGTTTTCTAGGGATGGTTGAAGCAGTCTTGTTCCAGACTCAGTCCCTTGCACTTGAATAGACCAGCAAGCCTGTTCCATCCCAAGCTTGTGTGGGTTTTTAAAGGAAAAATCCTTAAAAATCTGTATACTTTCAACAGATTTACATTGTTTCGACCAACTAACAAGGTGGTCCAACAGAATCCGTAGTTCGTTCTTTCTTTCTTTCTTTCTTTCTTTCTTTCTTTCTTTTTAAAAAAGTTTCTAACTGTGAAGAGAGACTGATTTGTTAAAACACTCTAGGAATTGTGGTTCTGTGAGGAGAATAGGGGCCTCCTAACCACTCTCAGCACCCTTAACAAACTACAGCTCCCAGGATTCTTTGGGGAAAGCCATGGCTGTTTAAAGTGGTATCATAGTGCTTTAAATAATGGTGTGAATGTGGCCTTAGTCTGCATCCAGTTGTTTACTTCTTAGAGTCCCAGGCCCTCTGAAAAACAACACAGCTTGGTCTTTTTTCTTTTTTCTTTTTTCGCAGTTTGGGTATGGCGCTATTGCTGCCCCGATGCCAGTGAATAATGCATGAATTTCCTTCTCCATTTTGGGCTCTGCTTCTGCCTATTTGGACTGGCGCAGCTTGGTAAAATGATTAGTAGCTTTTGTGGCACATGGTGACATATGCTGAGCAGGCCTTGCAAATATCAACAGCTGTGGGCAAGCATTAGGTTCGAATTTTCCGCAAGCCTCTCCTTCTACTCTCAAATCTGTGACACTAAACACATATTTGTCCTCTCTCATGAGATAGCATGCAGCTCCAAACTCTCTCTCTCTCTCTCTCTCTCTCTGACTTTCTGGCGTGACTCAGTTCAGTTACAATGTAATTCCCACAACTTTACACTAGAATCACAAATGGGTTACTTCAGGACTCACAATGAAAAAGTTTGTAGGACTCAGGTGGTATTAAAAGGATATGCAGCAAAATAACGAACAAACGGAACCATGGAGAAGTGGACATGGAAGTCTTGTGATACGAGAGTAACAAAAGTAAATGTAAGCTGTACATACCAAGTTTTGGAAAATGCATAAATAAATAAAAAAAGAGAGAGAAAGTTTGTAGGGCCTCTGCTGGAATTTTATTTTCATGGTCAAACCAGATATTCCTTGTGCAGTTATTAATAGTCTGGCTACATCCAAATAGCAGTTTATTCCATTTGCATGAGTTCCCCCTAACTGATAAGTCCGCACTATGTAAAAGCGACTTCCAGAACTATAGTGGAATATAGTGCAGGTTTAATGCACATTCATATGTTATTTACTTCCAGGAGGGGGGAGAGACCTGTTTGCAAATAATATGGATACAGTATGAGAGCTAAACTTCTGCTATATTCCAGTATAGTTCCACAAGTAGATTTACATTATGTGAAAGCTCAAATATCGAATGGAAATTGACAGTTATATATAAGAAAATAAATGCTATATTTTGGTGTATAAACTTTTAGAAGCTTTTCAAGTTTATATTGAAATAGATTTATAAGTATTTATTCTTCACAAGATCTGCATTAGGCATTATATAAATATAATGTAGTCATAGCTATAAGAGTGTATATAACAGAATATATAGCACTTAAATGCTTTTAGATAGATTTTTCAAGTTTTGTAATTCCAGATTGTATGTATAAACATAAAGAAGGAATATATGTAAGTAATGTGTTGGATTCATGTGTGATTATATAATACTTCTGATACATTTAAAATGTATAACCAAATATATAAATGTGCATGTAAATTATCAAATGAAAAAATGAATTGCATAGATATCATGAGGGGGAAATCCAAATTGAAACCTATACTAATACCACCAGTAGTATTTTTAAAATAAAATAAAAAACCTGTGGGGAAAATATGTTTACTTTAGACAACAGAGGCCTAAAAGACTTGGACTGAACTAAACTATGGAGCCCTAACATGTTTGTTGACAAGTGCAGAATTATACATTTGAATCCATTAGCTAAAAGGATCCATAAACATTTGGATAATGGCACTTTTCATTTTGCACCAGTCTATCACCTATCAGATTTCCCCCTCCTCCTTTCAAATAATTTTTCCTGTGCCTAAAGTATTACAGCTGAAAGGCTTTCCAGCAAACAAACAGGTGTTAAGCATATCTCTCTAATTTCACTTGAAACCCACTTCCTTTCCCGTTCCTTCCCAGTTCTCCCCCCCCCCCCGAAAGTAAAATAATAACCTAGTGCACACATTATGGCTTAACTCCAATGAAGTTCTGAAGAGCCAAGTCACGGCTGGGTTGTAAAAGCAGCTTGCCTCTATGGTGGCCTGGCGCTGAAGACAAAATGGCAAAGGAGGCAATTTAGATGTCAGTGGGAGTGCTTCAGATAAGTGCTCAGAATATGGAAAGTAGGGAGTAGTGGCTGACCAGGTGAGGCAGAGCCACTGCAGTACCTTCCCACCAGGTGGGTCATTGCTCATTATGGGGAGGGGTGAGGTGGCAGGGAGGTGGGCATGATGTAAATCAGGGGTGCCCAAACTTTTTTCAAAGAGGGCCAGATTTGATGAAATGAACCATAGTTGTTGAGATTTTTCCAGGATTGAAGTTGTTGAGCTTTCTTTAGGATTTAACCCCAAAGTTGTAGAGCTTTTTTTAGGATTGAAGTTGTTGAGAGTTTTACAATTTTAACCTAAGTTGTTGAGGTTTTTTTAGGATTTTACCCCAGGACATATACAGTGGTACCTTGGGTTAAGTACTTAATTGATTCCGGAGGTCTGTTCTTAACCTGAAACTGTTCTTAACCTGAAGCACCACTTTAGCTAATGGAGCCTCCCGCTGTTGCTGTGCTGCCAACACGCAATTTCTGTTTTCATTCTGAAGCAAAGTTCTTAACCCAAGGTACTATTTCCGGGTTAGTGGAGTCTGTAACCTGAAGCATATGTAACCCGAGGTACCACTGTATTGCTACGGGGGCCAAATTTAATTGACCAGCAGGCCGGACTTTAGACATGCCATGCCTGATGTAAATGGACCACCAGAGCCAATGTGGTCTATTGCCTGGGATGCTCTCAGCAGCTCCTGGCTGGTTGCCCAGGCAAGTATAAAGACAAGGAAAAGTTTCTTACACTTCTTTTTTATTTCCAACTTTACAGAGAGACACTATAGAACCCAGCCTCTTGGATAATGGTGTTAACTCGAGTAAATCTCCACCCCACCCCTTCTCTCCCACTTCCTCATTCATCGTCATCATCTCCTCCTCTACGGGTGCCACTAAGTGCCCTCTGTCTTTGCTCTTTGCTCTCCTACTTTTAAGGCTCGCCAGGTTCTGGGAGATGGTGGATCTGGAATTCTTTCTAGTGACAACGTGTCATCCAGCTGCCTGCCTGCTCCTCCTCTCCAACTATTTCCCAGCTTTCCCCCTCATCTGCCTCTGAGTTGTGACCTCCTGCAAACCACTGTTGTAAATCTATACTGTCTTCCTCTTCCTCCTCCCTGGAAGTGTCAGGATGGGGAGGCGGTCTTCGCCACTCCTCCTCCTCCTCTGCCCAGCCCCTGACACCCATATGTATTGCAAGCAGTGGCATAGCATAGGTTGCCAGTGCCCCGGGCCTCACAGGGGGGTGGGAAGGTGATAGATGGAGTACGCATCCATTCATGCATATTCAACTGCCTAAGGCGTCCGTGTCACCCAGGAGATTGCAAGCGCAGAGATAAGAAGAGTTGCTTCCTTGTCTGGCGAGGTCACTTCCAGGTTCGCATAGAGAAGCTGTTTTCGACAGAGCCCAGCAATGGAAGCATGTAGCTGTATTGAGGCAACACCTGGTGCTTAAATTTTGCGCCCCTAACAAATTTTGCATCTGGGGCAACCAGATGCAAGCACGGGACTCTTACTAAAATCCACAAGCTCTACTCACTGACTCACCACCACCATCATTGTCATGCCATCATATCACCTTGTAGCTTTCTAAAAGCAATAGCTTCCTGGGTCATAACAAAAGAAAATAGCTCAGTTGGTAGAGTATGTGGCTACTGATCTCAGGTTGTAGGTTTGAGCCCCATGCTGGCCAAAAAGATTCATGCATTGCAAGGGGTTGGACTAGATGACCCTTGGGGTTCCTTCCAACTCGACAATTCTATGGTTCTATGAAAAGGTCATGGGGCTCTGGTCCCTCTGGGCCTCCTCCAAACTAAGTGCTGGTTAGGATTCTCATCATGACTTCAAATCAACAGGAATTAGATCTACAATCTACAAGAAACAACTTGCACGCAACGGTGCTAGGTTAATTCCATGCTGTTACGGATGCCTTGAAAATAGAGAGTGTCTGAAACTGAAACCCACCACAATTATCTTTTCCCACTCTGCTAAAAGGCAAAAGAATAGAGAGACAGCAGAAGCAAATTTTGTCTTATATTGTTTCTCCCACTTCACCAAGAGCCTGTGGCTGAGCCAAATGTAATCGAGTTTGGCTCCCTTGCAGAAATTAGCATGACTGAAAAGTATGCCAGGTTTCAAAACAATCTCCAACAGCTTCTGAGATTCTGGGTAAGCATTTGGGGGGGGTGGGGCGGGGGAGAATGACATGTTGTGCAGTGCCCAAGTCAGCCAACTGCTGTCACTGAATAATTAGATTTGCTAGCAAGAGAAGGGGAAGTCTTAAAATTATTAGGCAATAATGCAGAAGCTATATGAAGCAGAAAGAGAGCTGTGCACCAATAGTTTGAAGGCATTTATGTATGGGTATAAGCAGAACTGGCCTTGGGCATTGTGATACTTCTGGTGAAAGCTGGAATAATATCCCTGAACAAGCTTTCCTGACCTACTAGCAGACCTGGCAGCAAATGGCAGCACCCTTGGGTAGATCACTCCTGGCAGGGCACACCACTGCCAACTGCATTCGGGTCTCCCTTTAGAGCAGGTACACTCAAGGAAGAGTACCTGTGGGGCATTGGAATGACAGTTGCCCTGATCTAACCCTCAAAACTGAAGCTGACTTTCTCTGCCTATGGAAGAATAAATGGAGCAAAGCCTCCAGCAGATTGTAACAGGGAGTTATGCAGTAATCCTTGATCTGCGGATGTCCTTAAGGTTTATTTACATGTTAAACTGAACACTGGACTGCAAGAAGATCAAAAGATCAAACCGATCCATTCTTAAGGAAATCAGCCCTGAGTCCTCACTGGAAGGGCAGATCCTGAAGCTGAGGCTCCAATACTTTGGCCACCTCATGATAAGAGAAGACTCCCTAGAAAAGACCCTGGTGTTGGGAAAGATTGAGGGCACAAGGAGAAGGGGACGACAGAGGACTAGATGGTTGGACAGTGTTCTCGAAGCTACCAGCATGAGTTTGACCAAACTGTGGGAGGCAGTGGAAGACAGGAGTGCCTGGTGTGCTCTGGTCCATGGGGTCACGAAGAGTTAGACACGACTAAATGACTAAACAACAAAACTGAACACGGGCACATGCCTTGACACATGTTCAAGTGTGTGAAAGACTGTACGCTTGTTCACCTGTGCACCTCAACTCTTTGTGCACACAGATGGTACATTCCTTGAATGTTACATGTGAGCACCCTATATACATGCCCATACTTTCATTTCTGGAATATTGGAAGGTCAGTTAATTCCTACTGCCACAAGAGAAGACATTTCTGGCAGTTTTCCCAGACAGAAAGCCACCATTCATATTGCTTTGCCCCTAAGACAATAATATGCTTTATTCCACTTGACACTTAACCATAACCTCTGCTGGGATCTTTACCTACTGTCTATTTTAACCTTCCTTAACACTGTTCTCTATGGTGGGTGAACATATGTCCCACTTTATAGAGCACAGTCCTCTTTTTGAGGTGGCCATGTATCATACTTTTCATACTGATTGAAGGGCTGGAATTTAAGAATGAAAAGCAGGGACCTTGAAGTTGTCCATCAGCATTTAGTTCCTGAGTGGCAGACAGAACAGGCACACATTGCACTTGGTTACATAGTCTCCCCCAGTATTGCCAGATGTAGCAATTATTTTGAAAGTTGCATCTGGAGATGGAAAGTAGCATATGTACATTTTTTGCAAATCTGCGTATTTTCCTTCTTTCTTTTTCCGGGGATGTATTTCCTGATCCATGCATAAATAGCCATCTTTTATTTTTCTGTGGACGATATAGACCCATCCACATGCAGTTCTTTACAGTGCTATTTTTCTAGAAAAAGAGATGCCGAAATTCACCACGAGCCCCTCCCTTGTCCACTTATACCTGAGAGGTGCTGGAACTGAGTTCTGGTGAGTTTCGACTGCATAAAAGCCCTAGCTCTTTACCACTTGATTCCTTTTTCGGTGCCCAAAGCCAATGCAAGCTCAAATTGTCCCAATTTTGTTTACTTTCCAAGCTACAGAAATGGAGATAATCTCATCATTCAGTGTTTTCGTCATTGTACCTTGAAATCCCAGATTCAGTGCATGGCATTTCTGCTTAAGGGGCTCGGACTGCGGAAGACCTCTGTCTGAGGACCCGAAGAGTTGTCCCAGGTAGACTGGCTAATAATACCAATCTCCCTTGAATAGTGAACTCAGGGCCAAACTAAGCTAAATGTTTCGCTGCTAATGATGTCAGGGTTTGTTTGCTTGCTTGCTTGCTTGCTTATGGTTTATTTAATAGGAAGCACAGAAGATAGTTTTATCTGAAATTCAGTCATGGATGAATTCTAAGGAGGAAGAAGTTACCTGCCCCCATAGGCCTAGAAGCCATATTCTTTTCCACACAAGTACCCGAGAGAGGGTTGTCACCATTTGATGCTGCAGAGACCCATGATAAACTGTGCAAACCACTCCTTTGCGGCACTTCTTGTGTTTACTAAGACCTCTCCTTGTTGATTGTTCAGACAAGACTTGGCTTGCCTTCTGTTCCAGCATTCCCCTCTCCTTTAATAGTCCATGCTTTAAAGAGTCTTCTTCTTCTTCTTTGGTGATCACTCTTAGCCGAGTAAGATTGTCTTCCATGAATACGGTCTTAACTGTGAGTCTGTAAGTGATTGTGGAGGCCAATTCTGTATCCACACGTCCTTCCACAGTGGGGGCATAGGTTTCCAGGTGGGAGTTGATCATGGTGAGGATTTGCCAAGCGTTCCTTCCTCTTAGCACGTTTCTCCCTTTTGTCCTGGGTTTGAGCGTCTTCAAAGTCCATGACACCTTTGGTAAAGGCTGTTTTCCAATTGGAGCACTCACAGGCCAGTAAACTGCTAGGAACAGTAAACACAGATTGCCTTGGTCTTTGGTCATGATGCACCATTGCCCAATGGCAGGGATATCTGTCCCAGTAACTATAGGGACAGGGCAGCACTAGGCTGATACAGCTCTAGTCCCTATCCATCCTCACTTATTGCGAAGCAACTATTGTGCTGTTGGCATCATGGAAAGAGGGAACTAAATAATAAAAGCTGTCTTTCATTGCATCTGAAGCCAGCCCTGGTATAAATCACTATTACAGTCAACATTAAGGCTTGCTTTTTCTCGTTTATTGGCTTCCCTGGAGCATGTCCAACCAGGAAGGCCTTGTTGACATGCAAGGGAGAGATTCTTAAGCAATACAAAGCATAAGTCCAAATAATTTTTGACTGGGACTTGTTGCATATGGCCTATGAATAAGAGACTCAAGTTTGCCACCAGCGGGGGGTGGGGAGGGGGCAAAACTTCTCTAAGATTCACCACACACAAACACAAAAATGAATTGTGTGTTTCCATGGTAATCTTAATATGTGTTAACCTTTGGACCAATAGAGGCAACTAGAACATGTTGAAATCCAATAAAGGTGAATGTTGGAAGATTCACAACAGACAAAAGAAAGTTCTTCTTCAACAGATCATAGTTAAATTGTGGCATTCACTCTCATAAGGTGTAGTGATGGCCACCAACTTAGATGGCTTTGAAAGCATCAGAGGAGGGCAACCAAGATGATCAAGGTTCTGGAAACCAAGCCTTATGAGGAACGGTTGAGGGAGCTGGGTATGTTTAGCTTAGAAAATAGGAGACCGAGAGGAGATATGATAGCCATCTTCAAATATCTCCAGGGCTGTCACATGGAAGATGGAGCAAGCTTGTTTTCTCTTGCTCTGGAGGGTAGGACTCTAAACCAAAGGCTTCAAGTTACAAGAAAGGAGATTCTGACTAAACATCAGGAAAAACTTTCTGACATGAAGAGTTGTTTGGCAGTGGAACAGACTCCCTCAGGAGGTTGTGGACTTTGCATCCTTGGAGGTTTTTAAGCAGAGGCCATCTGTAATGGATGCTTTAGCTGAGATTCCTGCATTGCAGGGGGGCTGGGTGATTCTATGAAAGGGGGCTTTCAACAGATTTGTGCTAGCTACAATGGCTATGTTCTTTTATCTGCTGTCAGAGCCAGTACGCTTCTGAACACCAGCTGCTGGGAATCACAAGTGGGGAGAATGTCATTGCACTTTGGGGTTTTCCATAGGCATCTGGCTGACCACTGCGAGAACAGGATACTGGACGAGATGAGGCTTTGATCTGATCTTACATTCTTATATTCTGTGCACCTTGCTGCTTCGCCTCAGGCAGTCAAAGATATTGGGCTGGCTCTTTTCAAAGAAGCCTGTCTACTGCAATGCCTGTTTTCTGGTATATATCGAAAACATGGCTTTTAAGACTTTCGGAGGTGCAGTGTTTTGATTGCTGAGGATGTTATTTATACATATATCATTTTTTCCCAGATGCTGTATTTATTTCTGGCAGCTTGAACCCCATAGCTCAGTTGGTAAAACATGAGACTCTTCATCTCAGGGTTGTGGGTTTGAGCCCCATGCTGAGCAAAAGATTCCTGCATTGCAGAGGGTTGGACTAGATGACCCTTGTGGTCCCTTCCCACTCAGCCATTCTACAATTCTGTTCCATGATTGATTGATTTATAAATTGGATTCCGTATGGTTGCTTTACATGATTGCACATGTGGATATCAAATTAATATTTTTTTTAAAAAAAAAGGCAGGATACAAATTATTTTTCCTGATAAATATAAAATGTAACTAAATGAGTCATAGAATTTTGCCACTTGGGCAGAGGATACCAATGGCCAACTTAGCTCAGATGAAAGCACTCACTCTGAGATATTTGGGGTGCCTGTATTAGTTCTCTGCAACTTCCTGCAAAGTGGTAGAGAGAATTTCGGCACGTGTCTGGGGCTGATTCGGTAAAATAGTCACCTGTATCTGTCCTTGGGGCTAAGAGAAAAGACCTCTCTCTCTCACCCATACTCACCTGCCTACCTGCCCTGGGAATATGGCTGTTACCCATTCATTGGCTTAGCATCCAGAGGACTGAAATCACTTGAACATATGAGTGGATGAAGAAAAGAAGCAATACTCATTTTTCTGAATCTTCGAATGGGAAGTTGCAGGCAATTATTCCTTATTAACTGCCTGAAGCAGAGCTCCTCTTTCACCTTTGCTGGAATGCCTCAGCATTAGGGTAAACAACACAATGCTGTCTTATCATAATGAGGCTTTGCTACTCTGTAGCAAGAACTTGTCAGAAACAGATTGTGATGTTGATTCCTCGATGGGTGGGGGGGGGAGAAGGGGGCCTAAATTAGACTTCTATAAAAAGAATATTGCATATTTATTTCCACAATAACGCCAAGGGGGAAGGGGGGGGAGAATGTTAGTCAAGAAGCAAGCAATTGGGTGAATAAATAAGCTTGTCTTTGTTCTCATCAATTAAGTTATTACATCAGTTGGAAAACCAGTGAATTATAATACAGATGTTTAATGAAACACTGCTGTGCCTATAAGTCAAACTCCTATTTTGTAGTGTGATTTTGGCTGCATAGTTTTGTGTGTGTTAAACCGTATTTATTAGCTGATACCCATTATTATTTTGAGCAAGGTATAATTCAGTTGTCAGGCTGCAGCACTGGGAAGGAGATTTAATCAGCAAGAACCCGCTTTGCTGCTGAGCATAAAACAATGCGGGTTTCATGAAGCAATCACACCAGTGTGGAAAAAATGGGATTAATTAGTATTGTACAAGAACAGGCAGCATGCTCATTAAAACCTTGTGAGCTGCCTCTTGATAAACTGCCACTTGATAGGGCCGCATTAATGTGACAAGGCAAAGACTTTATTTCCAAATCCTTTCTGATTATATCGCACTTTTAAGTTACCTGGATGGGCTCTCTAAGGCTTTCGGAACACAAAGATCAAAATTGCCGCACAAGATCCCCAAGACACTGGGACAAAGGAGCCCGTGCATAGATAGCAAGGCTTCAAAAGACAACTTCTTCTTTTCCTCCTTCTTTCTTTCTTTCTTTCTTTCTAAAAAAAACCTAAAAAAAGCTCCCGTTCAAACATAAATCAATTGCTGTAAAATGAGGCAGCTCCAAAGGTGGTAAATTTGCATTTACACTCAGCAGGTTGGTCTGAAACTAATTTGACAATTGGCAACCGCCCTTAATGAATCCCATATACAAATCTCACTGCCTGTTTGCCGAATGCATCTTAGACTTATGGATAAATAAGAGTCTTATTAATATTGCGAATGTTTCAAAGGGGCTCTGAGGCAAGGATTAAAAAACAGGCAGGAGACACTCCTGCTTTTTATCATTTAAATGTCGTGCCGTCCGTATGTTAGGTATAAGGGCGTATTTCTTTTCGTGCTCACACAGACACACACACATCGTTCTCACCAGCTAAAATGACTATTTTCACTAGCACATTTGTTTCAACATGAAACGAGAAGAAGAAACTAAGGAGAGAGATGCCTGAATAACAATGGTAAATGTTCGATAGGATGCAGTTTTGATCTTGTGTGTTATTTTCCTCTAGGCATAATGTTTTATTCCTTCCTGAATTTGTAGCAGTTTTGATGATTTACTCATACACCAATTTCGTTTTTCCTCCCTCTGCCCCTTGGCTCTTCTGAATTAGCAGCTATAAAATTTAATTTCAACTTTTAATAGTTAATGGAATCTATAGCCTGCTCCCTGATGCCTCGGCGATCTGAGAATCTGACTTTACATGTAGCTTTTAGCTGACATTGTATGTAAGGTAATTGCAATGCAATACACTTATCTGTCAGTATGTATTTGTAGGTGTAGAAAACGCCACTCAGAGAGCACAGATCTCCAATTCCCCAAAGCTTTCCCTCCCAACTATTTTATTTTTTTTAAAGCAAAAATCACCTTGTTAAAATCTCAACACCATATTAAATTAATGTTCCTTCCCCCTCGAGACCTCCAAGTATTCAAGTTACCAATTATAGATTGTTTGCAACTAGATTCATGCAATTCCAACCCATTCTAGTGGCGGAAGGCATCAGACCGCAGGCAAGGTACCCGAGAGCAGGCGTGATATGGATGAGTACAACCCTTTAACGGAGTGATGTGTTGCAATATTATTAATTTAAAACCCTAAGATCTCATTGTTGTGATCTGGGCTGCATGAGGTAATGCGAGATGACAGCCATTGAATTAATAGAAAATGGGATTCATCTCCTGAAATTTCACACAAAACACAAACAGATGGAAGACAGACAAAATAAAAGGCAGACAGACAGATAAATGCCACTAATATGTTTAAATTTAAGCTGAATGGGTGAGAGGTTTGGTGTTTTTTGGGGGGTTTTTTAAGAGCAAATGGAAGTTACCAATTCCATGATGAAAGAGAGCGGGTGTTACTTTTCTCTAGTTGCACTGGGCATTTCAAAGAAAACTGTCCTCGGTTTCTTTCATTTTCACAAATGAAGGGCCAGGAGAAAATGCAGATTCAAGTGGAAATTTGGAGAACCAACCTCTTTCAGCATGAACCAACAAGAATGATACCTTTTGGTCTCCCTCATCTCCTTTCCTCTGATGGGGGGACTACAGTGGTACCTCGGGTTACAGACGCTTCAGGTTGCAAACGCTTCAGGTTACAGACTCCGCTAACCCAGAAATAGTACCTCAGGTTAAGAACTTTGCTTCAGGATGAGAACAGAAATCGTGCTCCAGCGGCACAGCGGCAGCAGGAGGCCCCATTAGCTAAAGTGGTGCTTCAGGTTAAGAACAGTTTCAGGTTAAGAACGGACCTCCAGAACAAATTAAGTTCTTAACCTGAGGTACCACTGTACTGCCATATTTCACAAAGCCCATCTGGCAACCCCATGACTGGTTCATAATCCCATATCTCTTAAACAAGTTATCCAAGTAATTATCTTTTGTTTCTTCTAATGATCTGGACTTGTCAATAAGGATCGGTTTGCTTTCAAATTGAGTGGTTTTGTTTGGGAAGGTGAGCTCTGTTGTTGTTTTTTAGGTAATGTAAACCAGTGGCCTTCTTGATGTTGCCAGCCTCCAAATCCCATCAGGCCCAGAATCACCAATCATCAGGAATGATGGGAGATGTAGTACAACGGCAACATGAGGAGGGCCATAAGTTGCCTAGCCCTGATGTAAACCTAAAAGTTAACTCAGAGATTAAAAATGGCACACTTATGGTACTTCAATTATTGCTGCCATGTTGTGTCTTAAAGTGTAAAATACGATGGCCTAAGATTTGTCCCATCAAGGAGTGAAAATGAATCAAGAAAATAAAAGATGGTCGCCCCCCCAAAAAAAATCTATACAGAGTTGCTACATCCACCTCCCACAAAAAGAAACCCCACCTATTATTGCCACGAAAATGTATTTTTTATTATTATATTGCACCATCAATGCACATAGTACTGTGCAGAAGAGCGTGAGTTCTGCCCTTGGTAGCTTTCAGTCCAAGTTTTGACAGAGATGGATTAAATAGAGGGAGGCAAGGAAAGATAGTGGGGAAATTATGGGGGATTTAATTCTGGGCCTTATTATAATGGTCTCTTTGGTTTTGAAATTTCTATTCTCCTCAAGGTGATTTACAGAGTGCCTCAGAAGACAACATTTTGTGGTGTTTGAGCAGCTCACCCATGATTCTTCGGAACATTACTTTTAGGAAATGTACCCCACTTTTATAAACAGAAATTGTGAGGAAGCATTACAATTTGAATCACAATTACAGTGGTACCTCTAGTTATGAACTTAATTCATTCTGGAGGTCCGTTCTTAAGCTGAAACTGTTCTTAACTAGAGGCGTGCTTTCACTAATGGGGCCTCTTGCTGACGCTGCGCCGCCGGCGCACGATTTCCATTCTCATCCTGGGGCAAAGTTCTCAACTCGAGGTAACTCTTCCAGGTTAGTGGAGTTTGTAACCTGAAGCGTTTGTAACCTGAGGCGTTTGTAACTCGAGGTACCACTGTATTGTTAGGTATTCTTTACACACACACACACGTAGAAAGGAACTCCCTAGAACTAGGGAATATTGGTAAAACCTAAGGCCCAAACTCATTATACATTTAAAGTGTTATCATGTCTGAGAATTGTGAGGAGACCTTTGTTCCCCTCACAGAGAATGCCATCACTATTTTAAGCGGTATGTTCCCATTTTAAATGTGCAGGTGGGGCCTGTGCAGATGGGGCCCTGTGGAACACCCTCCCATCAGATGTCAAGGAAATAAGCAGCTATCTTATTTTTAAAAGACATCTGGGCAGCCCTGTTTAGGGAAGTTTTTAATAGTTAATGGTGTATTGTTTTTAACACTTGATTGGGAGCCACCCAGAGTGGCTGGGGAAACTCAGCCAGATAGGCGGGGTATAAATAAAAAATTGTTGTTGTTGTTGTTGTTGTTGTTGTCAATTATATCCAACCTGCTACTCTCTGGATGTCTTGAACTCCAACTCCCATCTGCTCCATCCAGCATGACCCACATCAAAAGAGGATGGTCCAAAGTATCTGGATGGCACCAGGTTGGAAATAA